GACCATCTACCCCCTATTTCAAGGGTAAATAGATCCTATCTGAGTGTTTTTCGGGAGCCCCGGGGTGCTTCGCGGTTTAGTTAGGAACCCTACTTGGAGGTCCATTGTACTTATAACCTACTTAGTAACTGTAATTCTGACCCAATTCTATAGGGTAAGTGTAGTTATGGGACTTATATTTAGGTTATAACTACAGCTACGAAGTGGGTTATAAGTACAAGGGACCTCCAAGTAGGAAGCGTTTCACTATGGGCATTTAACTTCTTTACAGTAAGAACCCCTACCTCAATATATAAATGCCTGGGTTTAAATGCTTGCTAGTCCCCCCTATTTAGGGTTTATCTTTAGGGCTCTCAGGGTTTAGGGCTTAGGGTTCTCAGGCTTCGAAACCTCGTGAAGCTCCCTAAACCTGGGCCGGCCTTTGAGTATTTTACATATTCCCCTCATGAGCTATAGTCTAAGCTCCTTAAAGGCGATCATTTAAGGATTGTATAGGGTACTATTATAGGGGTCATTAGACTATAGTGCTTATGAGTTTAGTAAGGACACCACATACCTAAGGTTTTTCAAACCAAGTGACCCCCTGTGCCAAGGATTCCATCGAACTGAAAGATGACAGTGTCGGGATCTCAGCTCTGTATGATACGCGGTTTAGGGTTTAGGGGCCGCAGGCAAAAAAATGTACTGCAGGGGCTAAGTACTTGGAAAGAATCCAGGGTCGAAATGGAAAAGAATGAGATTCAAATGGCGGTCTACGCCTAGACCTTATACCTTGAGCCCTAACCAGTCTGCGAATCATACCTTCATCAGGCCTAAAGGTCTAATGTGGGCTACTTGGAGCTCTACTACTTGAAGGCAGAGGGGATTGAGTAAGTAGCTTCTATCCCACTTCAGGTACGGATAGGATCAAGAGCTCCGAGTTTGGCTGGTGAGAAGGTATCTGCTGATTGCCCTGATCTTCCAAGATCTGAACAAAAAAGTCTGCATTCTGAACCCAGATGTTAGGGTATAGGGTTAAGGGTTTAGGGATTAGGGTCTAGGGTCTGGGTTTTGCACCTACTATGCAGTATGTTCTAATCCTTTACTGAAAAGAACGAAACTTAAGATCGAACTACATGGGAGCCTTCAGCATGAACTCTGAACCATGTCTATCCCCGCAGTATCCCTGGGTAAAGGTTGTGTGCGCAATAGGGGCCCCTAAGCCCCAAACCCCTAAACCCTACACATCGAGCAATTGGACATTGTATTTCTTGAAGGGGAAGATAAGGTAGGTCTACAACGGGAGAATGAAAAACAAGATGGAAAGCACCGTTTAGGGTTTACGGCTTGTAGGGGTATATGAGATTATAGGGGAGCTTCCAAAGAAATAGGGGTGCCATTTTCGTGGTCCCAAGAAGCAGAACTATAGTATTGGGGTGTATGCTGGGGTCCCCCTTGCCGCATAGGTGTCAAGGCATTCCAAGCAAGATAGGTATTCTTTTGGGCTTAGGATTTGGGGTTTAAGGGTCCTATGCTACGGCTCTGTTGCCTCCTCAGTCTATGCCCCAGGTACAACACGTAAACCTGGAACAGAAGACGTGATAACCACACAGCCCTACATCTAGGCTGGGGTCTCAACCACTTCAGCTCGACACCTCAATTCTGAGGTTGCAGGCCAGAAAGCAGCCGGAAACTGAGTGCAGGAACGGATGTTATTTGCTGAGCCTCAGTTCTCTTGGCAGCAAGCACATAGCATAGGGCTCTGCAGGGACTAGATGGGGATATGCTTAGAGATATGCCGGCATGTACATCGTGTTTTGCGCAGCAAGTATAGAGGGTAGGTGGAGGGTCTAGGAACATGCAGCCGGGGTTCGCTTTTCCTTCCGGGGATTTCCCTAGGCACTCTTCTGGTATGCCGAGAGCGGCATGCACCATTGCTGCGAGCAGCTCTGGCTGTGTCAGTTGGATGAAACAGGGTTCAGGGTTATAGGCAATAGGGTTTACGGTTTGGGGTTTTAGGTTTCAAGGAGTTGTTTGGGGGGTTATGGTTCAGCAGTTGGAAAAGTCGATTAGTTGAATAGTTCGATTTCAGCACGAGTCTAGAGGAACTTTGGATTGTCCCTGACACGGCACTCCACAAATGGTCTGGAAACCTTGTGTTCTCGCGAAAGGTGAATAGTCCGTGTTATAAGTTCTAAGGCTCCCATAAACATGGTGTGGACTGAGTTTAGGGTTTAGGGTTTAGGGGTTTAGGGTTTAGGGTGAGCAGACATCAGGGTTTTGACGTCCGAATGAGCCCTGCAGAGTGTCTGTAAGCAAGCCTGCGTGATCTAACCGACGCCCCCAAAGGCCCTGACGCCCATGTTGGAACCCCTCGTAGGTGTGTGCAGCCTTTAAGCTGTTTCAGGTGCTCTGAGATTGCAGACTGTGCGGCTGTCAGTCTCCAATGAGAACTGCAAGATGTTGCAAGTGAAAGGCGTAGATAGAATACGGCTTTGGGTATATTAGAATAAGATCCCCATATACCCCATATTCTATCTACTTAAGGGGTACTATAGGGTTTAGGGTTTAGGCTTGGAGGTTTAGGGTGTAAGGTTTGGGGTCCCAAGCTCCCAATTCAAAAGTGAAAGGCGTTGACTAGTTTGGAGCTGATAAAGTTTGGTGGAACTGTGTGTAGATTGTGCCAATGTAACCCTAATATAACCCCAATAGAACCCCAGTATAACCCCAATATAACCCAATAATCCCTATCTAAAACACAAGATCCAGGCCTTGCCCGTCCTCTGCCTTGCTTCACAAGAAGTGCTCGCACGGCGTCGGTTCTTCTTTCAGGCTTGCTTTTCTCCGGCTCTCTCAGGCGCCCCCCTAAGGAACACAGCTGTATCATTTGCAGCAAGCTTGGGTATACTATTGGGGTTCTATTGGGGTTCTATTGGGGTTCTATTGAGGCTATATTGGGTTCTATTGGGGTTATATTGGGGCTATATTGGGGTTATATTGGGGTTGCTGTAGCAGAACTGCCTCTTTTTAAAAACTGCCGCATGCCGACAGTCCATAGTACACATCGCGGCTGGCACAAGGTGCAGGCATTTCTAGTCTAGTCTCTAGTGGGTTCCCAGGGCTTAGGGATTGAAAAGTAAGGATTGCGCATGCAATCGGCTGGGGGTGTAGGGGTGCGGACTTATGGTGAAGCGCTACTGCGAAAAACCCGTATCCCCCCGACGATGGTTAGGAACGCTGGACGTATGGCTGTAACTCTTAGGATCGATGCACGCCACCCTTCCCTGGAAACGTAGGCAAGCTTGACACCGCTGCTTGCGCAACACTATCACATTATGCAACCAATGCTACAAGCAGTCTTGTGCAAAGCCCGTAGGAGTACTAGTACCAGTGTTAGTGAAGTAGAAGTACCAGCATTGGAAGTAGTACTAATACAACTACTTTTCTACTTCTCCTTCTACTACTACAGCAACATTGCCTGGACGCCTTTGCTCAGCCATTGATATTGGGCATTCACGAGTGCTTGAACGTCGACATCTCGGCAATCCAGCCTCAGATACCAGTGCATGAGGATGTATCAAAAGTGGACCTCACACTAGAGACAAGATGTGATAGGCAGCCCTGCACACTTGTGATTTCAACCCTGATGGTAGTGTGCGGGACTTCCATGGGCAGATGAGAGGAAGGAGAGCTCCCATTTTTCACCGTCCCCTGACGAACCAGAACAGCTGGCCTACGTATCAGTCCCTGCTGCAACAAACCGCTTACCACACAACAATTTGCAAAAGTGAGAGGCGGATCCTAAACCGAAGCATTTCGGCATTCTGCTCCCGGTTCTTTTCAAATCGGGGTTGAGGATTGAGCAAGTTGGGGTTCTATAGGGATAGTGGATAATAAAATTGAAAAAACTATAGTATACTTGGGTTATATAGGGATAATGGAAAAAATTGGAAACTACTATAGTTGTATCTAGCAAATGACAGTACCCCCTCCAAACGTGGCTTCCCAAGAAGTGTCCTCATGCCATGACCAGAAGCCGAATTGGCCTGACAGTCCCCATTAATGTAGACCCGCGATTAATAAATCCCCCTCCTTTTGAGGGCCTTAATATTAGGATCCCTATTATAATCCCTATTGAGGGGAGGGGAGTCATCAATTAGGGGTCTACCTTACTAAGAGGTACAGTCCGACTTACACACTGCTGGCAGTACCAAATCCAAAATGCCCGTCTTCCCCCTAAACCTAACCCAGACCCTAAACCCTAAAACCTAAACCCTAAACCCTAAACCCTAATTAATAAACCCCCTCCCCTTAATAGGGATGATAATAGGGATCCTACACTCCCCCAAACTAACATGGAAACCCACATAGCCCCATTTTAGAGGGACTGTAGTCTTTGTAGGGCCCCTGTTGGGTTTCCATGTTAGTTCCCAGGAGTGTAATCCCTAAACCCTAAACCCTAAATCCTAAATCCTAAATTACGTTATTCATAAAATTTTATAAACGCCTTCAAACTTATGCAAGGTGCCCTTTCACCTTCCCTACTTGCACCCAGGGGCTCCAATTCTGTAGATCCCCTGGGTGGTGACTGTTTATTAGGGTTTAGGATTTAGGGTTTAGGGTTGAGGGTGTAGGGTTTAGGGTTAAGCCCACGAAGATAACTTTCCCTATTGCCATTTGGGGGAAGACAGACTTACTGGTTCTCAGCAGGGAATAAGGGAATAGAATCCCTTTATAATCCCTATATATGAGCCATAGTCTAAACTCCTAGTATCCCCTTGATATCCCCTACAGTCGTCCCCTATAATCCCTTACATAACCCTTTTTAAGGAGTTTAGACTACAGCTCATACGATATATTCCCATATTCCCTACTAAGGGCGTATATGCGTATATATACCCTATTATAATGTAGTAGTTTCCATGTTCTTTTCCATTATCCCTATAAAATATCATCCCCTTTCCCTACTAAGCACCAGTAGCCAGAAAACGCCCTAAACCCTAAACCCCTAGCCGAGAGGCGGTCGCGCATGGCCTCCGACTCTGCGGCAAACTCGCCGGGCGCGAACTCGACTCCGGCGGAAGGCGCCAGCTGCACTTGGAAGGCCCACCTGGAGGCTAAAGAATAGTGGGGGGTTAGGGTTTAGGGTTTAGACGAAAATTGGGGTACCATCTAAAAAGGATTATCATAGTTTGGGGTCTCCCTATTCGGGAAATTACCTAGTACAGCCTGCAGGAAGGTTTCATATTGCAGCACAAGCCACAAGCAGCAGGACAAAAAGTATCTTGACTTGCAGTAACCTTTTATTGTCCACTTGCAGAGATAGAGGAGGTTACAGCCAGCTGGGCTTCAGCGTTTGGGGGAACGGAAGGGGCAACTCAAATGGCATAGGCCCGTAACCCGGCCAGTAGTTTGCACCCCGTCGTGATTTCAGCGCTGGCCCTATGGTAGATGAGACAGGGTTTAGGTGCCCCGCATACAAATGATTAGATTTCCTGTCTGACATCAGCTTCTCGTTTAGCCAGGTGTCGGATGGAAAGTGTCCTCGTTGTCAATCAGGACGAACTTGGCCTGCGCTATGTCGTTCGCGGTGTAGTACACAAGCTCGCCTTAGCTCCACCTGCCTCCTTGCAAGCATGGGCTTCTCAAAAGCGAGCTACCTAGTGGAGCCTAGAGCTAGGTTGCAAGGGCGCTATAAGGGGATTGTAGGGCCCATCCTGATAATTAGGAATCATACAAGGTTCATCTTGGGAAGCTCCCAGATCTTTCAGCTTATGTCAAGAATACGTGTTGCAGCAATGATGCACCAAAGCGGGACTTGGAACAGGCGAAGAGTCTTGACAGGGTTTAGAGAGGTTTCAATCTTGCGTTCGTGCCGCATAGCCTAACTTCCTCCCAACAGCTTTGGTCTACGTCTTCCTAGAACACACACATGGAGCCTTCATTTGGAAGGGCGTGGCGCGGGACTGCCGGTTGGCGGGAGTGCAACAAAGGTGCCGCATACTCTTCCCAGAAGTAGTGGTAATGAGACTAAGTAGCATTTCAGAGAACACCGGTAGGAGGTCACCGGTCCAAACTCAAAGAAGGACTGAGACGCGTGACTTAGAGATGACAGAGGCCACAGCTTCAAAGCCTCCAAGGAAAACGACCTCAACAAGTACTGGCCACAAGCGCGTGTTTTATTGAACTGACTGTCACCCTTCGTGCATCTTAAATGGAATCCAGGCAACGGTCTTCCTTCTTGCTCCAGTAGACCAAGCTGCCTGAGTCTAGCTGGAATGATCAAAGGTGCGTTCTTTTGGGTAGGGGTCAGGCCTTACCTACGCCATTTAAGGCAATTGACCTTTGGGCACCCTAAATCCTAAACCCTAAGCCCTGAATCTTGCATTGGTACAGGATACACAGCCCAAAGCCCTTGGGCTCAGGGCCTGGGCTGTTGCCAATATTCCAGGCTGGGCTGAGGACTGAGGCCTCTAGGCTTCAAGCCCAAAACTAGGAGCTCAAGTACCTATTCTAGCCAGTCTTTATTGGGCAATGTTCTGCAGGGACATGCTTTCAGGTGCTGGAGTTGTGTCCCCTCTACTGAACTTTGGCGTTGCAGGCCTTGAGGCGCTGCTCAGCTTGAACTGAAGGATGCGAAAAATGAGCCCTTAACATCTCCCAGGAGGTGGGATATTGCGTGGGGCACTGTCAAGACTCCTAGGGGAGCCATGGGCAGAGGCTTACTTCATCCCCGCTCGGTGTTTGCAGCATATGCCTGGGTGCATCCTAAACCCTACTGCACATTCAGCAGACCTCCCAGCGACCTTAGGAGCTTGATGATAATTACTATTACTACTACTAGTACTAGTATTATTACATCATTATTTCTATTAATATTTGGCATTCTTTCTATCTTCATTACTATTCTTATTCCTACTTTATTACTAGGACATTATTACTAGTATTGTCTCTGTGCAGATTTAGGCGCCGTTCTTGGCGATCCACATCTCGCGCTCAAACCAGTCATCGACCTTCTTGCGGTCGCCTGGCTTCAAGCCAAGCCACTTGATGCGGTTTCGCAATTGGGGCATCTTAGGTCTACTTTCGGAACTATATATTCTCTGGTAATAAGAAGAGAGCCTGCATCTTCATGATGATTGCAAGAGACGAACTAGAAAGATAATTCTCGTGGCTTCGCCTCTACTTGATTGCCATGATGATTCGCCTCCCCGAAGGCCCCACGCAGCTGGAAAAGGGGTTCCTTGTAGACGAGTGTCCCCTTTAGCAGTGCTCTTTCAGAGTTTGCATTCTTGTCTGCGGAAGTGTACGGATGACTTGCGCAGCTTTGCCAGCCAGACGACTTTAGCACATGCCCTCAAGTCTTTAAAAATGTTTCAAGACCCAGGGATCTCCGCAGAGTGTTGCAACATCCTTCCACCTACCACGAAGCGTCCCATAGCCTAGTCTTAGCCTAGTCCAGGTCCTCAAGTTCCTGAAAAGGCATCTTGAATACTGGATGGAATCTAGAAGACTGCGGAGAGTGGTATGGTATAATATTGACATGATGGTGGGGGTTTCTTGACAATTGTATGCATAGTTTTTGCGGACCCGCTATGATCCAATTCCCTACGGTCTCCATAAGATCCTTAAAGTTACGCAACTGAGAAACCCCCCTACACCCCAGCCCGGTAAACCCTAAAACCTGAATCCTAAACACTTCTAACTGTGAACCCTCCACCCAACTCTAAACCCAAAGCTCTAGAACAAATGCTGTAAGTCCCGAACCCTTATAATCCTCTCCCCTGATATTAAAACCCCCCACCCCCCTAATATTATATGATTTCTATTGTGGTACATTGTAGTACTTTGGTATTAGGGAGGAAGAGGGGTTTAATATTAGAGGGAGAGGATTAACTCTAAGCCTGCCCCCTCCCCCCCCCGCTCTCGAGGCCCTGCCTTCTGCCTTCACCTTCCAGAGCTTTGCCTTGAAGATTGGAGCAAACTGATCCTTGCATCGGGAGTTGAAGGATCCCTTTAAAAGCTTTATAGCCCCTTTTAAGTAAATAGACTTTGAGGTATATGGGGATCTTATTCTAAGGTACCCAAGGAAAGCCATATTCTATCTGCTTAAGGGGGCCTGTAGGGGTTTGGTTTTGGGGGTTGCTCAGGGTGTGTTTCGTGGGGTTCTTTAGGGTCTAGGATTGTCTGGGTCTCAGGAAGATTCAGGGGAATACATTGGGATAGTGTAGGAACAGAAAATTCAAGTGGAATCCATACTGGTAAGGAGAGGGGTTCGTACTCGTGAGGGAGATGAATTTCAGAGGACCGGGGCAATAGTCAGCATCACTGCTATGACCTGCATATCGATAATCACACTGAAAATCAGGATGGGGCTTGCTAATTTCAGGGCTTGCAGCCAGGCAAACCCACACAACAATTGTATGTTCAGAGTCCTGCACTGTAGTAAGCCACACCGTATGTCCAAAATTCTTCCGGAGGAGCTTTTCACTATCAAAACCGCATCCAACACAAAGGTCATCATGGTAGTAGGTATATGAGTTATAATGCGTCAGGACTAGCAAGAAGGAATAGTAGTGATGGGATGGAGCCATCTCCTGGAACATGCGCTTGCAAACCCCTTGTGTCCTTGGCGTCCTCGCCGACCTTCATACGGCGATTCTTCACAGCCAGCCTGCGAACTCTCCAGGCTATGGACTCTCTGGGAATATCTAGGGCACTTAAAACGGGTGCGAGTTGTTGGGGTATCATAACTCAAACTTGTAGATTGTGTGCCTGATGTATTCAGGCTGCGAACCACGGCCTTATGGAAAATCGCCTTCCTTGGATTGAAGAGAGATTGTGCTCCTCACCAGTCTAGCTTTGTGTTCAAAGGAAGCCCAGTACAGCCAACTAGAATACAATTCTTCAGCAAGGTTAGAGGGATCCTAAAGATGAGTTCAATTGAATTTGGGTAGTTTCTCACAACTCGCAGTCCACGGCCAATTTTGCGAAGCAATCTGTAGACACTTCCCCATGGAAAACTGAGTTCGTGGATAAAACGGGCAGTCTGGGACTCATGGACATCTTGAGCCCGTCATTATTGGTATCGTGTATTACCACCATCACCACCATCACCACCACAACCACCTGCTGCTGCAACGGAGTCTACAGCACCACTGCCGCCACTAATACGACTGCCAATACTGCTTTACTCCGAAGACACAAGCAACTGTCGCCGCTTGTGTTAGAGTACGCTACCTGGTACAGTACTTGCAGTATTGAAACTGAATATACTGAATCTAGGGCTATTCCAGCTCATGAGCACAGCATGGCCTGAACTGCTTGAGCTCGTCGGCCACGGCACCACCCAAGCGGATGGTCTGCATGGCACCTCGTAAGCAGCGGAAGAAAAATAAGATGCAGATCGAGTTCCAGCAGCAGCTACAGCAGTCGTAAAGTGAATCCTACTTTTCATTGGAGTAGCAACAGCAACAACGAATATTAAGTGCTCTTGAGAATTATAGTATTGAGCGCATTCGTAGAGCGTCGTCTCGCTGAAACGGCGCTGCCAACTTTACCCTGCAAAAACAGCAAACTCGTGGATAGGTTTACAGCGACTGTAGTTTCAAATGGCTTTTGGTGTTGATGCTGCTCTTAGCCCGCGAGTGTGGAATCACTCATGGTCTGGGGGTTGATGAGGTGCTTCTGCTGAATATTCCGCTCCTGCGCAGCCTGTCCACCCTTTAAGGTCACTCCCAAGCACACCGGTGCCTGAAGGACTGGTGAGTGCGCTCTCTTGAACTCGCAAAGGGATAAGATTCATGCGAGTATCTGTTCGAACTGCGGCCTCTGACCCAGGCCGACATAATCGTGGTTTCCACCACTATTTGCTCCCTCTCCTCTTTTGAAGGCTTCCTTTCTTTATCTAGCACCTTTTATTAGGGGTACTGAAAATGGGTGGCAGTATGGAGCTCGCCAACGTAATGCAGCGCATCTCTGAATAGAATACCGGTCCCTTTCTTCATCTTCCCCCTCGCTCTGGTACCGGTGATATAGGCAAACTCCCAGATGCCCTGGGCACCTTCCAAGTTGGTTGCCTGCGACAACAGGGATCGCCACTTCCTCAGTGCACTTCTGATCTGTTCTTGAATCCGAGAGGTGTAGTAAGAGGATTTATAGGATTTAGGGTTCAAGTTAATGCCTCCAGTGCTTTGCAGATTATTACTATTACATCTATTACTATTACCATTACTATTACTATTACTATTGTTATTACTATTAGCAAGAACTTCCTTTTTGCCCTTCGGAGTTGTCACGCAGATGTCTATTGACGCTTTGGAAGGCACACAAAGTGAAACATGTCTCTGAACTGCACATGTGAGCACCGTTAAGGAAATGTTCTTGTTTGGATCTTAATGCTTCCTAGCGGGATGCCTAGGACATCCATTGAAACTACTAGCCAGATGACGACTGAATATAGCGAGCCAAGCAACTGGTGCTCCTGATCAGACTCAGCAGAGAAGCACATGGAGATGTCCTTCTCATGGTCGTCCTGAGAATTTCTATCGCTCCACACACTTTGTAATGTTGAACTTAGCAATCAGCGCTTTCTCGTGCGAATGATTCAGCTCTAGAGTGCTTCCTGCGACCAACATTTGTATCTCAAGTGCACCACATTCTAGGAACAGCTTAGAGCAACAGCTTGACTGGACTGGTGCAGTTGCGCAGACCACCCGTCACACAAAGAACCCCTGTCAGTCATCCAACCAAACCTGATTGAGATGTCAAAATTAACTGTCAACTGTCGAAGCCCAAAATCATCTGCAGTCTCTGCTGGTTCTAGTACCGTCCGGTTGAGCCGTTTGTCATGGCGCAAAACTCTGCCAGGCTTCTTTAAAATATGAAGCACTACGTCAGACTCTCCCGATCAAAACACCCCTTCCAAGCAGTTTTAATGCTGGACCAGCGGCGCTGTTGACGCAGTCCAGACGGAAGGCCTGAGATGATTGGACCCAACTCACATTTCCAATGGAAACTAGTATAATGGAGAATCAATTGGAAAAGAAAATAGAAAATGAAATGGAAAATGAAATGGAAGCTGGGATTATATTGGGGTTATATTGGGGCAATATCTGGATAATGGAAAATCAAATGGAAACTACTATAATGGATGTTCAGATGGAAAAAATGGAAAATGACATGGAAGATGGGGTTATACGTGGGATTGTAGGGATGCACATTTCCTACAGACATGGGTTCCTTAGTGGTGATTATATTTGGCGCTGTACTAAACTACAAGAGGAACCCTATGTAAGGCTCTACCCAAGGCAACAAATGCCAGCCAAGAAACGAACTCGCGGGCAGCGCTGGGGAGCGTGGTGACCTGCCAGCGCGACAGGCGTACTGCATTGCAAAGCTATGGATCTGGTCATAGGGCCATGGCCCTGATTGAAAACCCCATCAAGGATGCCTACAAGTGCAGCTCATGGTACTCAGAAATTTGGTGAGTACTTTAGCAGGTACTTGGCAGGTACATCATGCTCAGAAGTCAGCATGCCTACCAAGCATGCTGGCTTGTCTTTCTGATGGGGTTTAAACCAACACGAGGACCTTCGTGAAGTTCCTATCTCTAGCAAACATGCTACGAAGCCTCGCTGTGACCATAGAAGTACGTTCTCACAGATTAGTTTCTAAAAGTCTTCTTCTTTTAGGGGAAATGTAGGACTCCAAGTGCAGTAAGGACATATCTCGAAGCACCGTTCTCTGGTTAGACACCAAATAATACTAGGAAATCCTGCGAATACACTTGGCAAGCCCTGTATCTTACCTCTGGTTAGCAAGGAATAAATTTATGGATTCTCACAGCAGTCATTAGCATTTTCTGGTTCTTACTGTCGTTCCCTGCTAACGAAAGGAACATGCATGGAATATGGTAGTTTCCCTAAATAAGGGACCCCAATATAAACTCCAAAATACTACCACCCCCCCAATTCTGACAAACCCTAAACCCAAAACGCTATATATGACCCTATATATCCCTATATAACCCCTAGAACCCCTTCTAGGGGGACCCGTATTTTTGAAACCCCCATATCTGGCCGTGCCTTGGCACCAGCCATCTTGATACCGTCCAAGAGCACCAGGCGCTTGTTCTCCTTGATGCTGAAGTAGCAGAGGGAGCCATCCTTGGGAACTGCTATTCCATGAACATCTATGGATGTTATATATGCCGTGAAACGCGGAACATAAAGAGATCGTCCATTTATGGATGTCGTCCCGGGCCTAGGAACGGATAAGGATCATCTGCAAGGAGTGTATGCTAGGCATGTATTAAGGCTGGAATCGAGATGAAGTGTGTCTTCTATGTGCCCCTTTCTGATCTGGCATCTTTCTGTGAACTTCTGCTGGGGGCCAACTTGCCTGACTTCTCAACTGAAGTGTGGTTTTCCAAAAGTGAAGGGGATCATTTTGGGGGCCCCCCATACTGAGGATTGTAGCATGTTGAGGTATGGGGTCCCCTACTTGCGCAAACTCCCAAGTTCCGATATAAGCATGATCATAGTACAGATTTATCTAGACTGTCTGGAGGTGTGTGATTCATGGAAGGTAGGATTCATAAAAATCCAGCTTCTATTCTTGCCGCAAGTTGGGTACCTTTAGCTTACCGCACAAAGAAGTGCAATATGTAGCATTCTGCGTTCCAAGGTCCCCCAAAAAAAAGGACGTGATTAAGCGGCCACAATGTTGACAGCCACCCATGAACCACCTCGAGACCCCTGTATACCTTCTATAATCCTACATACCCCTATATATATATATATACCCCGGTATTACATATACAACTCTATGTACCCCCATTTTCTCTCAGATTTCCTATATAACCATATATACTCTGGCAACCAGGTGTCGCAAGCCACCCACATGTCTCGCTTGAGCCAATGTGTGGCATCCTCGGGCTTGCCATCCTCAGGATAAGAAGAGACCCCCATGAGAGTTGTGTTTTTTTGGTGGTTGAACCTAGTAAGGTAATATTCCTTATATAAAATACTATACCCCAAAAGGAGGATATAATCTTACTCTATATTGGATACCATAGTATCCCCAAAAAAAATACTATTCAGGGGGGCTGCAGAATGGGGGGGGGGGGGTATATGTCAACCCTGGGGCATCGGCGCCGTCGTCATCATCATCATCATCATCATCATCATCCAGATGTTGAGGGTGGATTATAGTGTACAGAGCGTACTGCTTCAAGAAACATTGCATGAACTTTCGAGCTAACAATATACATGTCGCGCAACGCCCACACAGGCTGAAGGACAAGGAGCTGTGTTGAGCTTCCACAAGGTGCCCTTGTACAAGGGCGCCTGTCGACCACAACTAATCTTGGAAGCAACTGATAGGCTGCCAAAAGCAGTCGGATTGATGACACCAATGCTGATCTGCTCAGGAGCAATCGGGCTCAGTTTACACTTCTACTCCGTAAACTGGACTTTCGTTCGTTGCCTCCACCTGCCACATGATATGAGAGCACAGCAGCCCAAGACTCTTAACATAAGCACATGGAGAGTACAAATACAGTGTACACGAACTTCCATGCTTTTTAACGGAATTGCAGCTTCAGAATCAGACATGAGTCATGCCAATTACACAGAAGCCATGGGGGCCAAATTCTTCCTAGTAGTAATGACACCAGCAAACGGGCTGCCTAGTGTTCCCCAACAGAACACACGTGAGAACTTTGCTCCTAAGTTTGACCTGAACTTCTACAGCATCATCCTCTGCTGGCTTTCAACTCGCATTGCACAGACCGTCGCCACGAACCACCTACACTTCTTGTATGTATCACTACGAAAAGTACTCAAACTAACGATCATAATGGTAGTCAGCATTGCAGTTGCCGTTGACGTAGCAGCAGTAGTAGAGCAGCAGCAGCAGCAGCAGCAGCAGCAGCAGCAGCAGCAGCAGCAGCAGCAACAGGAGTATTAGTATTAGTATTAGTAGTAGTAGTAGTAGTAGTAGTAGCAGTAGCAGTAGCAGTAGCAGTAGCAGCAGCAGCAGTGGTAGTAAAAGTAGTAGTATAGCAGGAGCAGCAGGAGGAGTCATGATCATCCTCATCGTCGTCATAGCGTCAGCAGCAGCAGCAGTAGCAGAAGCAGTAGCAGCAGCATTCATTGGCAATGCTATCAATAATTTATGGCAGCAGCAATGGAGCAGAAGTAGCAGCAGCGAAAATAGTAGCAGTAGTGCTGGCGGTAGCAGTAGCACCTGTCGACAAACGGGCTTTAATTGACTACCGGACAACGGAAGATTTTCTCGTGCAGGGCCTGGTCTGGTGCAATCGGACCTAGGATAACACAGAGCCCTCCGACGTGCCTTGCTGGAAGTGTCCTCGAAGCGCTGGCGAGCCTGGCGCACGACCTTCCTTGGAGTGGGTGGTTACTCTTGTCGCTTTCCGGCTAAAACATGGATTCCACAAAGGTCCCTCTGGGAAGCTTCTGACGCTTATGGCTTATGCCTGCTGATTGTGGATGCCGTCTCTCCACCAGGTCATGACACCCACCCCACCACACCAAAACCCTACACCCCAAGGAAAACCAGCAAGCAACTTGGTTTTGCGCCAAGTTGCTCGCCACCTGGCAAGCATCTTTCTTTTGGGCGAGGGTTGGAACCAGAAACCCCTTTTTGGGTTACCAGGAGCCAACCTATGGCCTAAGGATGATGCCAGGGGCTCATACTTCCAACCCTACGGCCGGTCTGCCAACAGAAACACCTCTAAGCATTTCAGGAAGACCTGAAACTGATGAGAGTATGAGGATCTTGGATTCTCTAAAAGATCATGTAGAGATATCTTGGGATACACTTTTACATATGCAAGGGGCTTTCTTTCAAAAGGTTTTCTCCAATGCCCACTATGCAACATCCTTAAGCAGCATTGCAGGTACTGAGCCAAGACTTGGTTCCGCCAACATACCCCGGACTCGATCACTGCTTCGGAAACCCCATGTGGCATTGTAAAACCAGCCACGGCCAAATCACGTCTGGGGAATTTCACGAAACCTATTGTGACAATGAAGGGTACGGTAGGGACGATCTGACAATAATCGAGGAACTGTTGAAGAGTCTCAAGTTTGCGCGTGGCTTGCTTCTGAGGCATAGAATTGTGAATCGGGTTCTTTCAAACTCAATACGGTCAGCAGTTGATCTGCAACGGAGAGAACAGACTTGATTCTTTGTCTTCAGACATGGCGCAGTTGCGCGTGGCTTGGAAACACGACCAGCCGAATTGCTTGGGTGAGCATCGCATCCAGTGCTAAAGCTGTTGGAGAATTACTCTCAACCCTGCCATCGCATCAAAATCGACTTGCTACGTGGAGCAAATACATCGGAAACGGTTACGTCGCGGCTGGGATTGGCAGCGTCTGCGCATTTGAAATTTCAGGCTTTCAATGTATCTACCCCGGAGAGCAAGGATCCTTGCCATAACCCGCAAAAAGCTACACTAAAAACACCTTCTGCAACCTAAAAACCACCCCAAAAAAGTGTTGCACACCACATGCCACATGACACATCCCTGCCTTCGAGCTCTGTGGAGTCAGACTTGCCGGTCTCCACGACGTATGGGTCAGAGAGGCACTGGGCCAGAGACTTCCTGCATGGACTAGGCTTCAGGCATTGGGATTTCAGGGCTTTGAGGATTTAGGAGATCAGGGTGTAGGAATTAGGGTGGAGGGGTTTACGGCTTCAGGCGTGGATTGGACGTTTAGGGCTGAGGGTTCACGGTGTTTAGGGTTCTTGGGCTTGAGTTTGTTGGTATCCTGCAGCACGAGCAGCTGACGCGCTCCTCAACATGGGGACACTCAACTATATGGATGACTCTGAGGACTTCATGCTGTTTAAGAGTTGAGACTGCTTCCAAGATTTTGAACAATTATTGTCATTCGTCTGGTATAACCAACTAGGCTAGTTTCGTTGGAGGGATACTGCATCCTGGTCCCAGCCCCAATGGGATCCCCGCGCTCCAAAAACTCACAACTCTCATGGCTACAGTTTCTCAACGGAATATTCATAAAACTGAAAGGTGTGCCCTTCGCTCAACCGCCAGAGACAGTAAAAGGTTGCGAAAACGAGGGAGCCCTGTATGAGCCGTAGCCAGAACAAGTGCAACTGCATGCAATGTACGAACGCCTCTAACGGCACAACAGAACAAGCAGAGGGTGGAGACAATGTACCCAAAACACCACAATTCACTTCTGGAGACGGCAAGGTGGCACAGTACGCCCACATGCTGGCAACCTATCCATTGAACAGCAACCAGAAAATCCAAAGTCTCATGTCAACAGTCAACAGTGACTTTTCTGATGTCGTAATCCTCTTGGTGAAGTCGCAGACGAGGAGGGATTCGACCTCAATCAAATCAGAGAGGAAGCTCAGTTCTCACGTCCAGAACATTGGGATGTCGAGCCGCTCAGTGATTTGAGTGTGGCCTGGAAAACCTTGCAGCACTGTCATCTGCAACCAGGGAATACTGTACTTCCAACGGCCTCTACCCAATAAGCACACAATTCTCGGATGGTGAAATGCCGTGCTATGTCATGAGCGAGGCTTGGGTTGCAAAGCCGCTCGACTGCTACATACCCAAGGCAGCCAGACCTCAACTGCTACTTAGTGACTTAAGCGCCATCACGAATCATCTCTGAACCTGAAACCCCAAACTCTCAAAAAGCCTGAATCCTACGTTTGAAAACCTTGAAACCCCAAAAAACATAAATACCTGAGGATCCCTGCAATGAGCTTGTGGAAGTCGCGGTCGAAACGCTCAATGCTCTTGGGCACTGGAGCACGCCTAAGCTCCCGAGCAGAAACAGCATACCCATTCTCGAGGCCTTATTATCAAATACTCCGGGTAATATGTCTGAAAATGTCCATGCCTTCTTCCGAAAACCTTCCATTTCTGCACATACCCCCTTCTAGCAAGTGCAGCAAGGGCTTAGCCTGCTGTGCTTAAACGTTGGAGGAGAGCTTGCAACTTATTGCGAGTTTGCAGCCTCGTTGCACAGTGTTCACTGTGCGTAAGGTCCCAAGGCCGAGGGTATGGTATATGCATGACTCCACGCCCCGCTATGCCTACAGCGCGCCCTACTGCAGAACTAGTATGAACTAGCCGTGCATACTACCTAGCCTTCCTGTAGCCTCCCCCCCAAGGTTTGTACAATCAAAGC